GCTGGAACGTCGCCATATGACCTATACTGTGTGGGTGGGACGTAAAACCTAATCAAACAAACAAACAAATATCATTTATATGATAATTTATGATATTAAATATATCTATATTTATATGATAATTTATGATAATATATCTATAATTATATGATAATTTATGATAATATATCTATAATTATATGATAAATTATGATAATATATCTATAATTATATGATAATATATCTATAATTATATATGATAATTTATGATAATATATCTATAATTATATGATAATTTATGATAATATATCTATAATTATATGATAATTTTATGATAATATATCTATAATTATATATAATTAATGATAATGTATCTATAATTATATAATAATTTATGATAATGTATCTATAATTATATAATAATTAATGATAATATATCTATAATTATATAATAATTAATGATAATATATCTATAATTATATATGATAATTTATGATAATATATCTATAATTATATGATAATATATCTATAATTATATGATAATTTATGATAATATATCTATAATTATATGATAATTTATGATAATATATCTATAATTATATGATAATTTATGATAATATATCTATAATTATATGATAATTTATGATAATATATCCATAATTATATAATAATTTATGATAGTATATCTATAATTATATGATAATTAATGATAATATATCTATAATTATATATGATAATTAATGATAATATATCTATAATTATATAATAATTAATGATAATATATCTATAATTATATGATAATTTATGATAATATATCTATAATTATATAATAATTAATGATAATGTATCTATAATTATATAATAATTTATGATAATGTATCTATAATTATATAATAATTAATGATAATATATCTATAATTATATAATAATTAATGATAATATATCTATAATTATATATGATAATTTATGATAATATATCTATAATTATATGATAATATATCTATAATTATATGATAATTTATGATAATATATCTATAATTATATGATAATTTATGATAATATATCTATAATTATATGATAATTTATGATAATATATCTATAATTATATGATAATTTATGATAATATATCCATAATTATATAATAATTTATGATAGTATATCTATAATTATATGATAATTAATGATAATATATCTATAATTATATATGATAATTAATGATAATATATCTATAATTATATAATAATTAATGATAATATATCTATAATTATATGATAATTTATGATCATATATCTATAATTATATATGATAATGTATGATAATATATCTATAATTATATAATAATTAATGATAATATATCTATAATTTTATGACAATTTATGATAATATATCTATAATTATATGATAATTTATGATAATATATCTATTATTATATGATAATTTATGATAATATATCTATAATTATATGATAATTTATGATAATATATCAATAATTATATGATAATTTCAGGGCAAGTCCCAACCATTATCATCATTTCACCGTGCAGCAAGGAACACACAACAACTTTATGATCCAGAGTCGTGTAATGATCCGGAATCTATAGAGGTATAGTTAACTTGTTACATTATTACTTGCATGTAAACATTTTGAACAAAACGTTTTATTTTTCATTACAACTTCTGTTAGTTATTTTCGCAATCTGGTTTAAAAGACATATAAGTACCGTAAGTAATTTAAGGATCATTGGTGATATATATATGTAATTAGTAAGGTGGTAAATAAGTAAGATGGCTGAGTAGTGAAATATGATGTAGTAAAAATTGTTGGGGTTTTTTTTGGCAGGGAGCCAAGGTTTATAAGAGTTATACTGAGGTTAGCGTTATAACGGGGTGAGTTATAACGTTGTGGCAGTGTAATTCACAAAGAGGCCTTCTAAGGTCTTTCTTCGTCAGTAAAAATTGTAAAAATTGCCAAATTCTCTTAATAGTACCATTGTGACTAAACAGTCAACTTAAAAAACAAATTTATTGTCAGCTTATATTGTTTTACAGAATGATTACTGGGATATTGTAGAGAAGTCGGACGATCATGTTGCCGTACAGGGAGCTTGTCTTGATACCAGTATACATGGCAGTATGTTCCCAGTTAGACGTGACAACATGTTATGCAAGGTTGGTATTACTTGATATACATCAGCTGTCAATTTTCTCATGACAACCCTTTTACCCATACCACTATCAATATCATATATGTACTTGTCCATCTTTCTCATCCAGTTAAGCAAAAAATTTTAAATTATGCACTGACTGAATAACAAACAATGGTGCTTTTGATCAGATGGCATTGAAGTGTTATCTGATTTTTGTATGCCCCCTTTGTGGTTGAGGAGTTGCCTTTAAGGGTTAAGGCATCAGAATTGCAGTCACCATTTATCCCTACTTTATAGGCGCTTTAATGGGTTAGAATTAATGGAGTCTATGCATTTGTTAGCTCCAGCAGATGAGGTGGTTTTAACCCTTGGTGTTGCTGTAAGTTTGTAACACCCGAGGCTAGCCAAAATCATCTGTTCTGTTTCAGTGCCATATGATCTTAACTTTTGTTGGTCTGACCAAAAACCAAACATAACAAAAACAGTGTTCGCCTGCACTGGTTGCATTTGTAGAATCTATTGCCACCAGCTGGCTAGGGACTGAAGAATGCTAAATGTGATAATAAATTGTCTATGCTACCAGTATAAAGGCAGGTAAGCCAGCACTATAGTCCATTCTGACCAGGTTCTTTGCTGTTGACTGCTCAATTTTATTATTGAATATATCGTAATATACATTTCTTAAATATTTCCACTTACAAAACAGGGTCCAAGGTAATAAAAGCATTTTCTGAGCTCATCCTTTGATCTCAGGTATTTGATTGGCTAGAAACCAGCAAAAAATATAATTATGATTATAATTATACAGACCAATTAAAATAGATTTCAGAAAAAGCTCAGAGCTCAGAATTTTTTTTGTAACCTTGATGGTCAGGACAAAATCAAAACAGGAGTTTATGAAGTTCAAGGGTAATGTTTTAATGTTGTTGTATTTTCATATGATATTATTTTTTTGAAAGGCAATAAGGGGTAAACTATTTCTTATGCAAAATTGTATTTTATTTTAAATTTTTTCATTTACAGACATGGTTGGAATCTGCATAATTTTGTAGAAAGTAAAGGGTCAATACTTCATCATCTTGGATTAATAGCAGGTAATTTTCCTCATGCTCTATGTTTCAATAAGAACCATTGCTATACATATTTATTTCAATAGTTAAACCAATTAAACCATGTAATGATGCCAGCCTACAGTATGTCAAGTCCGTTTGGCTCAGTAAGAGGAGTGAGGAATCGAAAGAACTCGGGTTGGAGATATGACCTTTACCAAGTGTCTGTGTGATGTAAAAACACAAACTTTAAAAAGCAAAATGAAAAAAATAATAAAAGATTTCTGTAAGATCATATTTATTCATGTAACTTTAGCAGTGTACGTTTCAGAGACTTAGATTTCATAGGGATATAAAGCTCTATAACTCAAAAATTTTCTAATCCAGACCCAAAATCCTAGCGTGAGATTGATTGGCCCTTGGATTTGATCAATTTCTGCCATCTTGTATTACATAACTGGATATGATTACATTTTCATCCATTTCCGAGAATAATTTACATCTTCTTAATCTTAATCAGATTTTTGCATCTTGTTTTTTGTTACTTCCTTCAATTACCATATCAAATTTTAGATAATATGATAAATTTCCTTGTGTCAAACACATTCTCCGATAACCTCATGCAATGTGAACTTGCGGGATAATCAATCTTTGACACAGATTTCAAACAAGGCATCATGGCTTCCTCTCTATTTGAATATAGCTCTGTGGTTTGTTGCAGCCTATAATTCTATACAGGTATATATAATCAATAAGTGAAATACCAGTTTCTTAGTCTATGTTAACAAAAAAGTTACTAGTGTTACATTTATTTATTATGTTTATATTTTGGAACTTGTATTGCAGGTGTGACAGTACCTACTCTACACATTGGTATGTTGTACACCACTAAAAGTTTATCATGTAACGGACATAATCTTCCCACAGTGCAATATCTTCACCAAGGACCTGGACTCGTATGGTACTAAGAGATTTCTTATTCACTTTTTCCTTGTTCCTTGATACTAAAAATTGTTGATATGAACCTAAACATAGATCTGTTAGTAAAATACACACAGGTTCAGACATAGACTGAACTGACATAGAAAAAAGTTTGTGATGCTAAGCATCAATGTTATTATTGTCCTCCAAAGGTCTTACTTATTTGTAAATTTTTGACAAAACATAGATAAAAATGTATCATTTATAATTATAAGAACTACAACAACATGTATTCCAAAGGCAAGGGAATATATTACTGGAATTCACTTAATTTCTTGGACGTGAAATTTCATGGTTTGGTCCTAAAGAACATTATCATGGGTACTTAAATTCGTAGACTGTTAATTTTTCCAAAAGGTGAAATGTAAATATGGTGATGCAAAATAATTTTACAGCAAACAAAATGAAGTTTTGCTGGATCTTATATTGGATTGACCTATCCACAAAAACCACCAAAATTTGTGCCCTACGAATAATAATAATTTTGCAGTACATCATATATCCATTTAAGATATGGTAGTGTTACTTAATTAAAATGATGTTACTGATTTAATGACACAGTATGATGACCTTTTTGACTTTCATCTGAAACAATATTACCGTTTAAGTGTTTTTTTCTGCGGTTACTTTATTTTTGGGTTTTCTGCGGTCAGTTTCAGCACCGCAGAAATAAAAACCGCAGAATATTTCTCTAACCTGCTACTATATGTATCCTACAATGTGACCTGTTTCGTCTAAATTAATAACGACAAACAGATTATAACGGTTAGTGGGTTTTCAAATTGTATAAAATTGCTGTCGGCTAAGTATGTAATGTGTGTTTGTAAGAATGTACTTATTGTTTATTATGCTAATTTAAGAATAAATATATTTCAAACCATTCCAACCCTTATACTGCTAAATAATCGTTGTTTACTTTAATTGTCATCTGATAAGATACGGTAATTTCTATCATTTTCATTAAATTAAAGATCATACAACGGGGTATTATTTTTCACACGTTACTTCACGCTGATCAAAGATGTATACCTTTCTATTGTTGCGCATTATATTTGTTTGCAAGCAAACAATATAATTGTTTGTAATTACTATACAGTTTTGCGGTGATGACGATAAACAAATGCGAACATTAAAATATAATAGATAGGGTAATGTAACTTAGACTTTGATAAGACGAGTCGCAGAATTTAAATCATGATTTGTCCAAAGAATGTGCCGCAGAAATAAAGCCCACAGAAATAAAAACATGCCAAAATTTGGAAAAACCGCAGAATTTGGAGCCCGCAGAAAAAAAACACTTATACGGTATGCTAAACCCTATTGGGGGAGATAGGGGTGATAACCAGAAATTAATACCAGGGTAAGCGCCGGTTAAGGCCAGTTTGCATATCTTTGCAGACTCTCAGGCCTTTCCCCAGGAATTTTGCCAGGCACAGGAGCAAGTTTTCCTGAAAATGGGGTGTGGGAGGGGGTAGGACTCCCCTGCCACGTTCAAAAATTTGAGCTATTTTTTTGCGAAAAGTAACCTGTTGGCTATTAAATTGTACTTTTTAGACCTGAAATCCCTTTAATTACAAATGGCATGTTCTAAATTAAAAGCCAGGCAAGTCCATTTCATAAATTCAGCAGAATAAGGGTTAGGGGGGATATGAAGTGAGAAAAATGTAGAATAAGTCTTTTATTATTGGTGTTTGTTTCAGGTATGCGGTCCCTAGCCAAGAAACAGATAATCTTAAAGAAGCCCTGAAGACAGTGGCCCCAAAATTATATAGGAAAGAAGGGTTCTGTTTACAGAAAAATTCTGCAATGGTAAAGTTTTATGTTACTTCTTTATGATTTCTTATCATAATTGAACAAGGAAATGCTATTATTAACAAATTTCTTGTTCTAGTGCTTGCCAAAATATTCTAACTGGAGCTTAATAGATGTACAAGAATTGCCCTTCAATTCTTTTGTTACACATTGCACTTTTTTTATAGGACATTTACGTACTGATATTAACTTCTGTACTGGTAAAGGTTTCAAGCAAGTGGTTCTAAGCTTTCTACTCAATCCTTTTTGCATTCTATTGTAATATATTGTGTATATATATATATATTTGCTGAAATAAAATATTGTTTAAACCAAGCAAGTGGTTAAATGGCTAGTTCATTGCAAAAAATATAAATTTCCTACTTTTAGTTATATTAAGGCCATGTTTTTAGCTTTGACATAGTTTTATTTGGGATCAATAGTCATAATAGTCTTGCAGTTTATGTAGGTTTGAAAACATGAATATTTTTATTTGTAGATACCACAGTCTAAACTTGTAGAGAATGGTGTATCATTGAGTCGTTGTGTTCAGACAGAGAGGGAATTTGTAGTGGTATTTCCCTCAGTTAACTACAGTAATATAAGCCTGGGATATAACATGTCTGAGTCTGTACATTATGGTACACAAGACTGGATCCCTGAAGGTTATCAAGCTTCAAAGGTAAGGTTTGAGCACTATAGTTCATGTAGATTGAAGATTTTGAAATTTTGTATTTCTTACATATATGTGCAGTGGATGAGATAATGAAATCATATATGTGCTACTCTATGTTTAGTAGATATGTTAATTCTGTATTGCCACTCTTTGTTTAGTAGATATGTTAGTTATGTGTTGCTACTCTTTGTTTAGTAGATATGTTACTTATGTGTTGGCAATCATTGTTAAGTAAATGTGTTAATCCTGTATTGCCTTTCTTTGTTTAGAAGATATGTTAATGCAATATTGCAACTCTTTATTCAGTTATTATGTTAAATATGTGTTGCCACTCTTTGTTTAGTACTTACTTATATTTTCTTTTGCCACATAGTTGTGCTAAAGATGTAACTTTCTCTTTCAAGCCATTCCATTTATTCCTTATAACTGTAGAAATTCATTGACTTTTATATTTATTACGTTTGTATACATTATGAGTACAGTACTGAATTGTATTGAACAAGTACACAGCTGTGAAACCTATATTGGATATTGTATCTTGAATAAATGAGATGAGACTAGATTGAGTACATTATGGATTTGATTTTTTGGACTTGGGAAATGAAAACGAGGCTTGAATAATAAGATTGAATCCAATACTGGTTTCTATTTGATCATCAATCTGGAATTCCTTGGCTACATATTATAATGTGTGAAATTCATTTAAACATTTCAGAACTTGGGTATGAATCATGATATAGAGTTATTTTCTATGGATGCTATGCTGGTTTTCTTGGCTAGAGATTCAACAACCCAAGACACCACATTAGCTCTTCTATTGCCATACCTGGAGAAAGTTGTGTAAGTGTACATTTAACATGTTTGAACTGGCATTAAACCATAACCTTCTGAATTTCTTGTATAAGATATATATTTAATGGACATGTTCATCACAAAATATTGACAAAAACATTTATCATGTATAAGGGAAAATTCAAAAGTGAGTTGACCAATAAATCTTGGTCTGCACTGGTAGCTTTGTTAGATTTGGTTGCTGCTACAGGCTATGTGCTAAATGAACTTGTCAAACATTCTTTTTTTTGGAACTGTCCATTAGTAACAGCCAACTTTGGGGTGGGGGTATCAAGTTGAAATTACACTTCAGATTTTTATATAGATCAATATTGATACTTTTAGAAATAAGTGTATTGCATATAACACATAGATGATTTTTCACATGTTGTTTCTGTACCAAATAACATATATTGAACACTTGTTTTTTCCAGAGAGCGTGAAATCACAGAGCGTAAGAAGTTATTTGAAGCTGGATTAAAGGAGACTGAGCAGCTTCATGATAAGTTGGAGAAACAGGCACAGAAAACAGACGTCCTCGAGGAAATCATCATATGTGACGTGTCCAATAAAATATGTTATCTTTCCATGGTAAGTTGATGTAATATGGTCATTTGTTTGGGACTTAGGCCATGGTAAGTTACTAAGATATGGTCATTTGTTTGGGACTTAGCCCATGGTAAGTAAATGTAATATGGATATTTGTTTGGGACTTAGCCCATGGTAAGTAAATGTAATATGCTTAATTGTTCGGGACTAAGTTTTAGCTCAACTGTTTGAAGGATGAATAGTGGGTCTGTCATACTTACAAGGTGCTGTGTCATTGCAAGGTAATTGATTCTTCAAAAATGTTGTCAAAGTCATAATTTTGTTTGCTGATCAAGGCCCATAACTCTTTTGGTAATTTGGTAATTGTTTTTGCTCACATGTGTTGAAAGAGAAGAAAAAAGAAATTATATTAAGTCTTTTAGCAATTTTGTTTTAAACAAATATTGGAATGTTACTATATTTGCACTGCCATCGGTATAACCCTCTTTTGATGGCAGTCCTATAATATATCACAATATATTTAATTTCACCTCATATATCCAATCGTGTATCATATCGCATCATATATTATATCCCATTATATTGCATGATATAGCTGACCATTTATCATATCACATCATATATTATATCCGATTATATTGCATCATATAGCCGATCATTTATCATATCACGTCATATATCGTATCATAAAACACCATGTATCAAATCAAACCATATATCACATCATTTATCATATCACATTATGTATCATATAACAACATGTCTTCATGTGTTATATCCCATATCCAGTCATATATCACATGTTATATCCCATCATATATCATATTAATTACATCCTGTATCAAGTCATGTATCATATCACATATATATCCCATCATATATCACAAATCACATATCATCATATATCATATTAATTACATCATATATCCAATCATGTATCATATCACATATATGCCATCATATATCATATGTATCGGATCATGGCATAATACATGGAAATGGGCCTGAGGCTTTCCTCCACCAGTAAAGCTGGAAATTCGCCATATGACCCACCCCTTTCCAAAAAATTAAAACAACAACAACATTTTGTATCATATCACATCATGTTTCATACCGCATCATATACATATTACATATCAAAAAAATACTTATATTATAATGGATTATTTATATTACCTTGCTGTTTAAGGTGCTGAACTCACATGAGAATAGTGCTTTCTCCTTGGAGCAAGGTCTTCTACATATCCAGAAACGCAAGAATCTCAAATACTGTAAACTCATGTACAGATATTCTGAGGTAAATAGATCTACTGATCACTTTCAACATTGATAATGTTTGATAATTTGTAAGAACAAGTTCGGAGGCATACCTGATAATATTAAATTCATTAATTGTTATTGTGATAAAAATGTCAGTGTCTGGAACGAAATTATTGTATAACTGTTAATTTTAGACTTTTTGTTATTTTTTAAGAGCATTTCTATTAAAAAGACATTATTTTTTGTTTCTTATCATAAAAGATAGACTTCTATTTACAAGTTATTTTAGCAAATTTTTACTGATTTCTAAGAATGATATAATTAATATCTTTTAAAATTGAAATGACAGTATTTATGTCTTTTGTGAAAGTTATGTACTTGGTATATGTTGAACAAACTGTTCTTTCAGGAGGAACTTAAAGCCCTTGTGAAGGAGGTGAAGAGTAGATTAAGGGGAGGTAATTCCTCAAGTCCTGGAGCATCTACTAGTAGTCCAAAACGAAAGACAAGGAAGTCCAACTCAGATATCAAAAGTTCACCAGCATCTTCCACATCATCACGATGATCTCCATTTATTTAAAATGTATTTTATATACTTTCCTGAATATATAAATATATGTTCTACAAATGATTTGGTATGTCCTTGGACAAATTTGGCATGTACTTGGACAATTTTGGCATGTCCTTGGACAATTTCGGCATGTGCTTGGACAATTTTGATTTGTCCTTTGACAACTTAGCATGTACTTGGACAATTTTTGTTTGTACTTGGAACAATTTTGGTATGTCCTTGGATAATTTTGGTATGTCTTCGGACAATTTGGTATGTACTTGGTACAATTTTGGAATGTATTTGGACAATTTTGGTATGTACTTGGTACAATTTTGGTATGTACTTGGACAATTTTGGTATGTTCTTGGACAATTTTGGTATGTTCTTGGAAATTGACAATTTTGGCATGTACTGGGACAATTTTGGTATATCCTTGGACAATTGACAATTTTGGCATGTACTTGGACAATTTTGGTATGTCCTTGGAAAATTGACAATTTTGGCATGTACTAAGACAATTTTGGCATGTCCTTGGACATTTTACAATTTTGGCATGTACTTAGACAATTTTGGCATGTCCTTGGACATTTCACAATTTTGGCATGTACTTGGACAATTTTGGTATGTCCTCGGACAATTGACAATTTTGGCATGTACTAAGACAATTTTGGTATGTCCTTGGACAATTGACAATTTTGGCATGTACTAAGACAATTTTGGTATGCCCTTGGACATTTTACAATTTTGGCATGTCCTTGGACATTTTACAATTTTGGCATGTACTTAGACAATTTTGGTATGTCCTTGGACAATTGACAATTTTGGCATGTACTATGACAATTTTGGTATGCCCTTGGACATTTTACAATTTTGGCATGTACTTAGACAGTTTTGGTATGTCCTTGGAAATTGACAATTTTGGCATGTACTGGGACAATTTTGGTATATCCTTGGACAATTGACAATTTTGGCATGTACTATGACAATTTTGGTATGCCCTTGGACATTTTACAATTTTGGCATGTCCTTGGACATTTTACAATTTTGGCATGTACTTAGACAATTTTGGTATGTCCTTGGAAATTGACAATTTTGGCATGTACTTGGACAATTTTGGTATGTCCTTGGACAATTGACAATTTTGGTATGTACTTTGACAAATTTGATTTGTTCTCTTTGACAATTTTGATATGTCCTTTGTTTTTTGCATAACCTTTGACAAATTTGATTTGTACTTAGATAATTTTTGCATGCCTTTAGATTAATTTAATATGTCGTTGGATAATATTGATTGACAGTTTTGGTATGCCCTTGGACATTTATGGTATATGTCTCGTCTCCTAAGAAGTGTTGAAGTATTTTGTGCATGAAACTGTTTTAATATGTTACAAAGAATCTTTATTATTAAGAAGAGAGTTCTTAGAATCAATTTTCATTTTTTGGAGAATGGATATTTTGTTAAAAGTTTTTTTTCTGGAAACATTGTCTAGAAATTATCTTAAAGTTACTCGCCGACACAAAACAATTGTAAAGACATCAACATATTTGTTTACAGTTATTAAATATGCATAGACTCAATAAATCTGCAATAAAAGAGATGCAAATGTTGGTAATTGAAGTATACCTGAAATCATGTGATTTTGAGATGTTGAAAGATACTATAGTAATCTGCAATAATAAATGGACTATTTTTGTATTTTGAGATATAAGTTGGAGCATAGGAATTGTTATTTTGACATAAAATGATAAACTTTGTATTTCCTATTGTGGAGATATCGTATCTATTTATATGAGAAGGAATCCAGATTATAATTTATGATTGAGGTATCTTTTTTGTTTGATAAGGAATCTAGATTAAAATTTATGATTGAGAAAGAAGGTTTCAAGATTAAAATTTATTATTACGGTTGATATATTAATATACTGTGTATATTTCTTTCAGTATTGTGGCATTACTATCAGTGTATGGCATTTAAATTTGTGTATATTATTACAGGCATCATAATTAGTTGTAAACATATTTAGCTGTCTGTTTCGAAGAAAAGGCCAGCTTTAATGATTGCTGGGTTGTCAAAGGTGTTGTGCAAAAACTTTAAATTTTTAATTATTCAAACATTGCAAAAGGTATTACCATGAAACTTGGAATACTTGCTTATCATGATCTGATGCAGTGGTAAGACAAGGGACATAATTCTGAAAGCAATATTTTTGGAGTTATGCCCCTTTTTACTTGAGAATTTTTAACAGACGAGTGTTAACACTGTTTGCTGCTTGCAGTTTTCTTGTTAACCAAAGACAGTTATCTTGTTAACCAAAGACGTAGCCTAAAACAATCATCCCTAAGGTCTAAACCGATCAGCTCTCAAGTGTGATTGCTAAGTAAATTTGCTTGCTGCATGTTCGTATAAAAGGTTCTAAATTCATGATTTGAATTGATTTAAGTGTGAGCCCATATTTATAACATTTAATCATGTTGGACAAACCACCTTAATGTTAGAATAACAAATATTTATGTTGTACTTGAAATTTGAGCATTTTCCCTCCATAGGGGGGCTGGTTATTGTAGCTTGTCTGTATTGCATAGGGCATTAAATGTCAAAAGGATTTGTTGCTACATGTTGTCAATAGCTTTTTAGCTGTGACTTTTCATCAATGTTAGTTAATTATTATTGTTTTGAGATTTGTCTGTGTTTAATAAATGATGTATGACTTTAAAAAAGATAACAAAAGTTTGTTTTCTATACCTCTGAGTTTTTGTGTTGTGGCAATGGCTTCTACAGAGTACTCTCCTGCGCATCGATCAAATGTTTCACTACCGCTCACTGTCTGAAGTAACGCGAGTATATTTAGTATGCTGCGAAGGGAGCAAACTACAGAGTGGTGGCAACATACAGGGATTGCTTTTCTGTCTCTCAGTCTGTCACAATACTTGTCAAAAAACTACTGGTGCAAGGTCGTCCAAACATTCCATGAATGGTCAGTACTAAGTGTTGTTGTGCATATCATGGCACTTTACAGTTTTAGTGATTTTTGTCAGAGTTGTGGCCCTGTAATTATTTTATATCACCCCCCCCCCCCCCACAAAAAAAAATGGATTATGTAGGAAACTGTTTGTCCTATAACATCCCATCTCAGGAACAGGAAGTGACTGGTAGAGATATTAATTTAAAACTTGGCACATCAAAGCAATATTGCATTGTTATTGTCTGTGTCAAGTTTCATAACTCTTATAGTTTAATAGAATTATTCCCCTTTGTAACTTAGAATATATCCCAAAAATATACCAAAGTGGCTATAGCTTTATTGTTTATTAATTAATATTCTTCATACTTGGACACAACACTCCTTTGAAAATGTTCCTTCAAATGTAAAAAGATTTCATACGTCAAAGTGATGTATTTTCAATATCATAACTCACCATAAAATGAAATTATGGTTGTGTTGTGTATTCTTCTTGATCTTTCACTGAACAGAACAGAATGGAAACTCAGTCTTTTTCAAACAGTACCATTTGACTTATATCTACTCATAAATGTTAGTACTATATCAAACATAGATGTGTTCACACTTGGAGTTGTAAAACACTGAACAAAAACGTTTTTAAACATAGTTATATTTAGATGTTCGGGAGTACAACAGACAAAATTGAGTTGAACACCTGGATAGCGAAATTTCTACAAAAGGCACTCATATTTGAGACAAGTGTTTGTGACTGACCTAGATGCACTGTCATTGATGACCCTATTAGAGCAGCTTCGGGGTCATAGATCTAGATTCTCCCACAACTTCCATGCTAATGAATCCGTTGATCACTTAATTAATATCAATACCATATGAGCCGCGTCATGACAAAACCAACATAATGGGTTTGCGACCAGCATGGATCCAGACCAGCCTGCGCATCCGCGCAGTCTGATCAGGATCCATGCTGTTCGCTTACCAACCCTTTTACTTTAAGTAGAGAAACTGATAGCGAACAGCATGGATCCTGATCAGACTGCGCGGATGCGCAGGCTGGTCTGGATCCATGCTGGTCGCAAACCCATTATGTTGGTTTTGTCGTGTTGCGGCTTATTATTATATCTTAATAAGAATGACTACAGAGCTTTACATAGGTCCATATATACTCGAAATAATTTGACGTGCCAAAGCTAGATATTTTTGTTCTTGGTCAGAATCTCGCTTCCATATTTCAGTCACGGTTTACTGGTGCGCTATTACTTTAAAAAAGTTTGCTCTTGTGCATATCTAAACTATGGAAAGACATTTATGCCGTTATCTAAGTTAGAAAAGTTGACAACTAAGATGTCATTGTGCAATATTTAAGCAAATTTAATTCAAGGTTTAAGGCAACATTTGAAGAATTATTAATACAGATTATAAGCAATATTTCTGATGCAAAGCCGCTAGTAAATATTTACAATTGGTTATATGACATTTCTTGTGTGAGGTTAGAGTTAACAATGGTAACCTGCGTAGAACATTTGAAAATGATTTAATGTATAAGTTATAATTCTTGTTTATCTTCGACCATTACATGTTGAACTCAATTCTTGGTTTAAATTTGTTAACTTTATTACGACTTTCACCTTTGTGTTGAGTTATTTAGAAAGTGACGTCACGTGTCTATATCGTGACAATAGTATTTCCGGAGTTGTCATATACATTTTGTAATACATATTTTGCATCTTGTTCTCCACACATGTACAAAACGAAAACAATATTTTTACACCAGTACCATTTTGTTTTACACCAGTACCATTTTGTATTACACCAGTACCAATGTCACACGAAAAGTACATTGTTAGAGAGTACAATAAACATGCGTGAATTTCAATAATTCAATTATAGTTTTGTTTGAAATGACGGATTGTCAAGTCCGTCAATTTTGTCGGGAGATTTTGAAGTATCGGTTTTGATGTCGTCATTTCCGGTAAATGCTGGTCCCCAAAGTTTTTCTTGTGGGATGATTTCCGGATTTCTTATTTCTTCTGGTGGGCCCCATAGCTCATTTGGGCGTAAGTTTATTTTCAGCCTCTGTGGAAAAAAAAGAAGAAATTTTCTTTATAATTTCAAGTAATAATGTAGATGTTTTCAAAAGAATTGTATTAGATATATATCCATCCGTTAATAGGATAATTAATATTTCAGTATGTTATACGGCAAACTACTTGTGTTAACTATTTTCCTAAACAAAAATGGATCTAAATTCTCTTCAAACCAACATGTCTACTTATTAAAAAGTTCACAAGAAAAGAATTTGTCCCATGACTTCTATTAAGACTAAAACAAACTAACAATACAATATAACAACCAATATATCACAGACAATATAACAAACAATATATCACAGACAATATAACAAACAATATATCACAGAAAGAAAATAAGTTCAGCAGTAACTTTTACCTCAAATAATGTCCCTGGTGTTTTGTATAGTCTATAGATGACGTATATTGGTATAGGGGCGAGGGAAAAGGCAGCGATACACCATCCTAATCCGATATGCCATTGCTCGTACTCGTAACTGCCGTATGAAGGTGGTTCATAGGTGTATACGGTGAAACCGAGGGTGACCTTGAATAAAATTCACATGTTTAAAGGCTTGAGCTTTAATGAGTCAATGGGCCTATAACATACAAATTGGCTAACTATGGCATGTGTTTTCTTCTAATGATACCTACGTAATTGATTGACCACCAGTGACATCTGCATAAATGCATAACATATCAGTTGCCAATAGTATTTGCATTTATACATGTAACATTGGTTGCCAATAGCAGTTGCATTAATGCATAAAATATTGCTGGCCACATATGCATTACCGCATGAAGGTTGCCCATTGCACATGCAGTAATGCATAAAATATTGCTCGGCAATGACATCTGTATTAACGTTTCCTATTACATCATATCTGCATTGATGCATAAAATATTGGTTGTCAATGCCATCTGCAGTAAAGCATAACTTATTGGTTGCCAGGGGCATCTGCTTAAAAGTATAAAAGTTTGGCTGCCAATGACGTCAACAGATGCAATGTAAATTGCCAATCGGTTGGAAAGGCACTTGTATGAATGCTTTAAAACATACCGCAAGAAGTAAAGGAGTTGTAACACACCAGGCAATTTTGAATAACAACGGTACCCCCTTTCCTGTCATCTCCCGCATATTTGCATCAACTCTTTTGATACCTTTAATTGCATGTAAAGATATTGTATGTCACGTGACCTATACAATTATGCTAACAGTGTGATTTATCAAATTTCTTTCTAATGTTTCCTTACCCTGCCAAAACATTATCAGAACCAGATATCAAATAATTAAAATTAAAAAAAGACATTTAAAGTTGGCAACTCAACAACGGGTTTCTACATAATGTAACAAACATGAAGTGGAACTTTAAGTTAACAGTGATATTAAATAAATCACGCTCTGATAATATGTACATATTTCTAAATATTCATTATATTCACTTGATAAACTACAACAATTGTTATTTTGAAATAACATATTCTAATATTCTGGTAATACTCACCGTAGACATATGCCATCACTAACAACTCAATTAGAGCAAATATTGTCACAGAAAATGTCGCCGCATACCAGTCCAACAGTGTGAGTAGATAGTAACCACCCTGTAGTTAAAATCTGGAGATAATGAACATCATCATCATCATCGTCGTCGTCGTCTTCGTCGTCAGTATCATCATCTTCAAAATCATTATTACAGTAGTCGTCGTCGTCTTCATCACCACGTACCATCATCATCATTATCATCATTACCATCATCATCATTACTATCATCACAATCATCATTATCGTCGTCATCATCATTATCCTCATCTTCGTCATCATTATCATCATCATCATATGCTCAAACCAATTCTTAACCTACCATCCGATGATCGACGTCGTCGTTGCCATCATCATCATCACAATCGTCATCAACATCATCATGATATAACCATCATCATCATCATCATCATCATCATCGTTATCATAATAACGCTCAAAACAATTCGTAATTGTTTTCAATATATCCGGATAAGATTTTGAAATATACTCACATTTGTTATAATTATGTAGTTCATTGAAAATAATGCCTTAATTTGGAACGAGCTTACTTGATAATATTTCATACCAGGGCATTAGTCAAACCTTTGAATGAAATTGTATTGCTGATGAATAGACAACAAATTTGGTTACTGAACGCAAAGAATGAGTTATGATTTGCTATAATTACCCCTGTGACTTGAGGAATTGCGAGCAGGAACGCTAACACAATTACTATAAGTGTAAGCTGAGTTGTCTTTCCATGTAAACGTTTGCTAAACTCGTCTTTAATTGCTGTCACGACAATCTCGTAGTTTGGAAACTATAAATAATTGTTTGACATGAATAAATCAATCGACAGTTCGTGGAATGAAACAGAAGAGACAACTGAGCTATGTGACCCAAATTCATGCATAAAGGCCCATTATGGCTAAGATATGCTTTTATTTTTATTTCTGTTGTTTTTTTTGCATCTTGTAACAGCTTCTAAATCTATATTTATTTTCTACATACATGAACTATCTTTTGCATCTTTAGCTATGTTGGTAATTAGTATAATGATAGTGATTTAGTATCTTGTATGGAAGTCAAAATATTACTTTGTTTACATTTTGCTACCTGTACGGCACATGACTGTGAGTTCTGTGCTACTTTTTCAGTTGTTAAACATCTAAAATGCTCTAAATCCATTATTTAAACATTATAAAACAAATGTTAAACATTTCAAAATACTTAAAAAAGACATGGATTTCTTGGGCATATTGGGCCTTTAATATATTTGAAAACCAGGCAAAGTTTAAATAAATTCTACTACAAAGTATTTATTCAGCATATATGTCTATATAAAACTGTACCTGGCATACATCTTTGATTTTTTTCTTTTTAGTGCAACCAACGTGTCCGTTAAAAATGAAGAAAGGGATCCAAATGGAATAAAATATGATATTGTCTATACATTGCGAACAGAAATTATTATTCACCATACAATGTTGCTTTATTTCTTACTTGAGAGTCTATTCCCAGGAATATTGACATAAAGAAGAATAAGGCACACCAGAGTTGAGGTGGAGGTAAATAGTTGGCCGCCTCAGGATAAGCGATAAAACCTAAACCGTACCCTGTATGAAATAAAATAAGAAACTGAAATATATTATTCTCAGATATACTTGTAAAGTATGGTAACAGTTTTAACGATAAATTTGCAATGGACATGAGGATGTCAGACTACCTCTTGCTAAATTTGCAGATGGACAATAGGAGGACTACCTGCTGAATTTGTAGATGGATCAGAGGATGACTACCTGCTAACTTTGCAGATGTACAAGATAATTACTATCTGCTAAATTTGCAATGGACATGGGGATGACTACCTGCTAAATTTACAGATGGACAAGAGGATGACTACCTGCTAAATTTACAGATAGACAAGAGGATAACTACCTTCTAAATTTGCAATGGACATAGGGATGACTACCTGCTAAATTTGCAGACGGAAAGAGGATGACTACCTGCTAAATTTACATTCGGACAATAGGATGACTACCAGCTAAATTTGCAGACGGACAAAAGGATGACTACTAGCTAAATTTGCAAATAGACCTGCCGGATGGCTACCAACTAAATTTGCAAATATACCTTAGGCTGACTGCCAGATACATTCTTACAGTATCCTTAAACTTTAAATTCTAAAACTCCTAGATATCTGATTTATCCATTAAAAATAGCCAAGGTTTTAAGTTTTGAAAATGCTCTGAAAATATCGAAATAAATGCTGAAAACAATACCAAAAACATTAAAGGTATTATTACGGTTGAAATAATAATAACGTTTCTGTTTCTTTTGCATAAGAGATTTTGGTTTTCCTTTAATAAACTACTAAACTATGTGTGTCCTGGAAGTAAAACGCATGCGCTGTAACATATTCGTAACACATTTCTGGACACGAATTCCATATCTACAGACTATGCCATTCATTACAAAAGTCCATTACATAACTCGGCTATCTAGATTAAAGTATAATATACAGAAGAAGAAGAACGTTGACGATTCTGAGTATTAAACTACAACTTATAAAAGCCTCAAGTTTGGAAGAAATGTAAGACATTGTATGTCATTTCTTGCGGGTACAAAAACTCGCAACTCCTGAAAATGTCAAAGCATAAATGACTGACAGAAATACCTGACTGATTAAAGCTTTTGATGTCAATTCCAGTTTCATGTGACACGTGTCCGAGTACCGAGAAGATAACGAAGCCTCCGGAAAAACCGGCCAGCAAATCCATTAAACAAACTAAAATCGCATCCCTGAAAAACGAATGACGAAAACTTGAACATGTGAAAGTTTTGCAAATTGGATGTATTTTTTTCCCGGGCGCCCACAGTGGGATAACTCTATATATTTTCCCCGTCATTGGCATGATATGAAAAGTGACTATCACCGGAAACCGTTTTAGCTTATTAATCAAAGCGCTGATAGTACCTTCATTCGTGACTTTTTTCAATTTGTCCATTTTTTTTTAAAGTTAAAGACTGTAACAGAAAACTGGAAATGAAAGGTAGGAGGGATATATTACAGGCTCTATTCATTGATGTGTGATACAATCATAAGAATAAGATGCAATATAAACATTTAAATTCATCAAATATTTGTTACTTTTTGTAGAAATTAAAAACAAAATTTTTTAAGCATCCAACTACTTACGTCTACTTTTCATACAAAATTGTTATAGTGTAGCATGCTCAAATCGGCTAATTCTACGGTGTTCTATTTCGTTCACTACCACACGACAATCATCGCCTTCACTTGTCAACAAAGACACTTAAAAAGGCGCCATTCTAACGGATTTTACTAGCAAAATTAAAAATGGACGAAATAGGGACACAGTATAATTTATATTCGGTCGAATTTTCTAAACGGTAGTGTATTCACTTAGTTGCCAAGGGAACGCAAAAGCACGCATGTTTATTTACCATCTCACTACGAACATGAATGATTGCCCATTTTAAGGAATCATAAGACGATGTACAGTGAAACAAATTACCTCATACAGTTGTTGGTAAACTTGTTGTAACTGGCGAAGGTGATCATTCCGCCAAAGCCAGGTCCGACCGAAACAAAAACTTGCATACAAGCTTCAGCCCATATCTAAATCATTTCCAAGAATTTAATTATTATAGAAGTACGTATAATAATCATGTTGAAAATTCCATTAAAACACACGCACGCACGCACGCGCGCGCACGCACGCACATTTGTAGGAACAAAAACATGAATAAACATATTTAGTGAAAAGCCTATATTTCCAAGGCCACATAAAGAAAATATGTATCTTATTATCAACATAAGTTTAACATTTTTATAAGCATATTCTTTACCAAAGATTGGATGCATATGTAGAATAAAATTTAGTTGACCGCTGTGGTTTTAAAGGAAGGAAAGAAAATGAAGCAACTTATGAAATATTGCTAAAAGCTTATGTAGTGTTAATTAAGAATCTTTTGATAGAAAGTGAAGACAAAATACTCACTTTGGTTTCTGTCAGTTTGCTAAGGTCAGGAGTAAGATAATATTTGATACCAATTTCTGCTCCCGGTAAAATGGCCCCTCTTACAAGAAAGATGGCAAGTAAAACGAATGGTCCAAGGACAGTAAAGTATACTACCTGTTAAATGATAAACATCGTTATAAAATGTTTGACACGCCGAAATGTTTTAGCATTTTTATTTCATTTTCATAAAAGTATAGGAAACTATGTTATGTATGTTTTACAACCAGTCAACTAAAAAATAGCAAAAGCAAAGACAAAGACGACGGCGGCGGCAGCAGCAGCAGCGATGATGAGGATAACGACGACGATGACAACAACAACAACAACGGAAGTAGCAGCCGAAGCTGCAGCGACGACGATGATAACAACACCATCATCATCATCATCAACAACAACAACAGCAGCGAAATAAAACCTACTTTTTTGATAGAGATCTACTTATTTATAAAGAGTCCCTTGTGGTTGAGGGTTGCCTTCCATGTTTGAGGTATAAGAATTCCTCCACCATTTATCCCCGGCCTGCGTGATCGTAAGAGGCGACTAAATGCGTTCGGATAACTGGAGTCTATGCATTTCTCCAGCAGGTGCGATGGTTTAAACCCTGGTGTTGCTTCGAAGTATGTAACAGCCGAGGTTTAGCTAAAATCCTCTTTCCTGGTCGTCGCTATATGACCGATACCGTCATGGTACGCGCCCAAACAAACAAACAAATAAAAATACATTTTTACGTACCTTACCGGTTAGTTTGACTCCTTTAAATATACAAAGGAAGCATAAAACTTCTATGGCAGCAAGACATCCTAGAAGCGGCCAATTGATGGAGCCTAATTCATCTAAACCATCCGTCATATCCAAAGCCTTGTATCTAAACAAAGTAACTATGCATGCTTCAAATACTTTTTATAGCAGGAATACGAGACTGGGTCAACATGTAATGCAATATGGTCAATAAATTTAACAAAAGAGCAAATATTTTACAATTTTTTATTTCAACCTTTTCGAAACAATCTCCAGAGGAAAGCAAAGTTTCAGACGTTTAATCTTTTAATTCAACACAGTCCTCCTTAGGCATACTTTTCAATAACTGAAAATTGCCGCCCCAAGTCCAATTATACCCTTATAACCATGCCCTGCAGGATGTTTTTCAGTTTAGGAAAGAGGAAGAAGTCACAGGGGTGCCAAGTGTAGAGACTATGGCGGATGTTGAAGGACAGTCACTCGTTTTTTCTTCAAAAATATAATCAATTACAGTAGCTTCTTTGTGCGGAATATATAAGCCTTTCATACCAGTCGAAGGACCAACTTTATTCAGTGTGGCCATACCACGTGACTATGACGTCATTTTCGGCATCATTTCCAAGACAAATGTTGCTCGATTCGGAATTGAAAATAGCCGTAAATATTTTATGTCTGTGCCAATTTCTTTGGGATATACACCAGTCTACGGGGAAAAATATAAGCTTTCCAAAGAATATTGGATCGTCGTCAGTTTATAAGCCGTTTTATCAAACACTTTGCATAACCTTGGAAGTTGCTTGTATTTGAGCGGGCTTCAGTTGCAAGCTCTTTCGTTTTCTGGCGTTATCTGGTGTACGCCATGATTAAAAAGTCAGGTTTACATCAACCGGGAGTACGGAAGGCAAAACTCTACCTAAATATGTTCATATTTTTATTATGAATGACATAAATCTTACATTTTTCTTCAATTGTCAATTCTGGCACCTGTTCCAAGTCGAAAAAAAGGACTACAGTTTAAAGCAGATTTTAGAATCTGTTGCAAATGCAAAGCATCATGCCTACCGTACTCTTTCTACAATTTAGTTTTTTATTGTTGATCTTTCACAGAGAGATTGTGGAAAAAAAACTAATGTTTCTTAAAGCAATTACACTTACATGTATCGCAATAGTGCACGACACGTAGATTTAGTCCTGTCGAAAAATAATATTTTTGGTTTCGTTTTGAAGATGTTTGAAGTATTGCTCATCTTATCCTGTAGTTAAAATGTGTTTTATTCTATTTCACAATGGAGAAATTGATAAGAAATATATGTGCTCTTAGTGAGAGAAAGAGTTAAAATAAAAAAAAACAAAAAAACTTTTGTATGCTACGGAAATTGTTACACTTTAACGCGAGTGTTGTAAAGTTATAAGGTAATTTTTTTCATTCTATTTTTTGTAAAGAGTAACTGACAAACACTGACACACGTGAATGTGACGAATAGGTTCTTCTGTCGTCAAAAGAGAGACTTTTAAAAGGTATATATTTGGAATTGCCGTATTATAAATTTCTATAGAGTTTGATAAACGAAATCACAGTTTGAAGTACTATGCACATTAATCAGTATCAAAATCAAGAATCTAATTGCCACGCGCATTAACATGACGTTGACATTTTATGCTAATTAAACTATAAGCACTTTCATCATCAATAAAGAGCGAGAATGGAGACCATGTGGAATAAACAAAGTAAAAAATAGTAAACAGATAAATGATTTTACAAAACAAAACATCAAAAAGACGGAAATAACAATGATTATCAATAATTATATGAATATTTACATTAAGATCTGTAATAGCAACACCGGCAAGATCTATAACTGGGGTCCATATGACACTGATGCGTCCATTGAATAATTGATAGCTAACATAAACTAAGTAAAATTACGATTACTTTTGAAGAGTATATTCAATTTTTATACTTCAACTGTCAAATGACTTACTTCTTTATTTACATATCAGATAATTCACTTATTTGGCAAATGCATTATGTTTATCATGTTTTAGATTTTAATATGTGGTCCTTTTTTAAATCTTAAAGTGCTACAAAAATCATGTTGAGGACATCTGCATGTCATGCCGCGTGTAATAATCCATGTATTTACAGCCAATGACCACATCGATAAGAAATAGTCCCAAATAGCCCTATCGTTTTTATTTAGTTGAAAGAGACATTATTGTTAAAACATTCTACTCGATTTAAATGTTTTCAAACCATAAATATTCCGTTCCCTTCCTCTCTTTATTACAATGTGTATTATAGTGAGCTCTCTGATAAAGCTGGGTTGACTGATATAATTAACTAAATTTGTCAGATATGCAGTTTATTAACAGAAATAAATGCAATAATAAAATAAATAGTGTTTAGTGTTCCTAAGTGAACGAAGTTATATCCAGTTCACGAGAAACGGTTACCGTGGGTATGAAAACAGGATGTAAAAATATTTTTATCAACGAGTGCCACTGTGTTAAAAAGCTGAATATATCATACTAAAACATTGCTACAGGTTCTTTACCAAGTATATACGAGTATATATGGTTATACGTATAAATAACTCTTTTCAAAAGAATAACATTTGACTTGAAAATTGCCGCGTTGAGGCGTAAAGTTCCCTTTTCACAGTATACAAATGGAAGTGATCCTGAATGTGCACGTTCATTGGACAGGCTAGCTAAGTCAAACCGAGCCTGCAACATTTTCAATTTGGCCGTTTTTTGCGATATTTAGAGTTTCTGTTTTCTCTCTATTTTGAATATTCCACGTTTAGTATTGCTTCATGACACTAATAGATTTTTCATAATCATTACCGTGAAAGAGAAAATGATTATATTCTTTACAAATGCTTTTTACGACTTTTAAAATCACTTATAGCGCAGCGAGTAAAAATCATTTAAATATTCATTTGTGTTTATGTAAATCGTATAATAGTAAATAAAATATAAAATGTTTTTCATGGTTAACATAATTATAGAAAGAGAACGGTAGGCATGTTGCTTTGCATTTGCAACGGGTTCTAAAATCTGCTTTAAACTGTAGTCCTTTTTTTTCGACTTGGAACAGGTGCCAGAATTGACAATTGAAGGAAAATGTAAGATTTATGTCATTCATAATAAAAATATGAACATATTTAGGTAGAGTTTTATTCCGTACTCCCGGTTGATTTAAATCTGGCTTTAAATCATGGCGTAGACCAGATAACGCCAGAAAACGAAATAGCTTGCAACTGAAGCCCGCTCAAATACAAGCAACTTCCAAGGTTATGCAAAGTGTTTGATAAAACGGCTTATAAACTGACGAAGATCCAATATTCTGTGGAAAGCTTATATTTTCCCCCGTAGACTGGTGCATATCCCAAAGAAATTGGTACAGAAATAAAATATTTACGGCTATTTTGTTATCCGAATCGAGCAACATTTGTCTTGGAAATGATGCCGAAAATGACGTCATAGTCACGTGGTATGGCCACACTGTTATTGTATTTAAGTGTTTTCAATTTTTCTTTACACGTCATCTCTTTAATTCTCGGATATGACAGTACGGCCTCTAGAAACATATATTTGGACAACAGTTCCACGGGTATTTAAAGAAATAACGTACATAAATTTCTTTACACTTGTCAATCGCTTGGCAATGCATGGTCAACGAAAATGTTTGTTGGCGCAAATCTTTTTGTTAATCTTGCAAAGCTGAGTAAAATAGTGAAAGCAGCGTTCATTACCAGTCTACGGCACCTGTCATATTTAGGAAACATTTCCAGTAAATTTCAAGCGCATTTAACTCGCTCCTTTTCCTGGTCAGACTGGTGTTAGCAAATATGGTATCCATCTGGCAGTAATTCGCCTTACTTTCAAGTGATTCTTCAGAATCGAATAAGTTGACCCTTATGATATCTCTGCGATCTGGGTAAGTGAAAGTCTGGCATCTTAGTCATGCTTATGTTTTGCCAATAGCTGTATGGTGTTTTCTGTAAGCCTGTATTTCAAAACTTAAGTGAGCGCCATATTTGTCATGAAGTTACTCGTGTCAGGTAGTTTTAAATGTAAATAAAATCATTTTTTGAATCGGTACGTTGACTACACACATGAATTTTGTATCTTTGAAGCATAGCGTCACGAGCTAAATTAGAAAGACTTCGTATTGCATTACATATGGATTACCCTTGTAAATCTCCAATCGGATAATAAACTGAAATTATTTCTTTTTTTCCAGGATATTATTATCTAGAATTATTATAAATTTGTGTACTCTACTCATTATAACCATAAATAACATTTTCTTTTCTGAAAAACAAAACAAAAACAACCGCATAAAACATCATCAACCAAATTGAGAAACAAGCAAAACCACAAGTGAACAATTCTTTTTCTTACATAATTATATTCATTCAAATTCACAACAAACCTCATATTTACAATGTTGTTTATGTTCAGAATATCCTGTTCGTTTTATGACAAACAAAAAGTAAAAGAAACAAGAAAATGATTTGAGTGCATTGTTTATAATATATTATAAGGATTTAAATGCGTTAAATGAATGACTAGAATTTTTTGTTCATAAACCAATGTAATATGACGACTATATAGTCTGACTTCCAGGGAAAGGAATACACATGATGCAAAATGTCATGTCCAAATTAAGGGCTTTGAAGCAACGATTTAAACAATGAAAACAACAACTAAAATGTTCTCACTCAGTCCTTACCTTAGAAATTGCTCTGCAGACGTACTTTTCTTTAATTCAGTAACGTTCGAAACCACAGACATCGCCGTTGATGACGATGTAGTGAACATTGTCGTTACATTGTCCAAAAGTGTATCCTTTCCGGATGTTGTTCCGCTTGGCGCTGCGCCTGTGCGAGGAATGCAAACTTCCGCTTCCTGAACGTTCCATTCGTTGTTGCACGTGGTCCAAGGCAGTGTTGGAAAGAAGGAATGGATGAAGTAGAACAGCATCCAGCAGATAACGACACCATAGTAGATGGAAAACAAGAACGTAGATATCACTGTGCCATAGCCTACTCCTGCCAACAAAAGTTGAAACCAATAATCGGCATTATGTTTATAATATGTAGAACATTTAACGAATGAGGCTGTTAAACAGAAATTGTTTTCTTCCTTTTCGATGCAAGGTCAACTTACAGGACACTTGTATAACTCGTAACCATTTAACATGAGACCATCTGAACATTCTTTCGGCATAGAGCAGATATCAAGTCTTTGGGAAAAAAGTCTCTTCTGCAATATTTTCTAATTACACTTCAACAATTGCTGAGTGGCCCGCTGTAATCTCTTACAGTATAAATGTTGCCTAGAGTAACGTTTCCTAACAAATTCAACCAAAATCTTTGTCCCCAAAAGAGAATTGCTCTGCAGAGATTATACTGTTCAAAGCATAAAACACCGTAGAAATACCGTTTAGACAAATATTAAGGTAAAACGGGACTTACCTTTAAGCAGCGGGCACACGTTCCACACCGGTATTGCCCCAGATTGGGAGTATTGTCCCATGATCATTTCAAGATACACAATTGGGATTGCCCCAAATACGTTGAATATTATGATGGGGATCAGGAATGCACCTGAAAGTGAAATAATATGTATACTATATATATACTTAGATGGTTTGAAGCCTTCGGTTAAAATTAAGGCGTACGCTTTTACATGAATTTTTTCCGCGATATTAAACTTGCACCTTGCCCAGTAAAGCCAACCACCATCAAGGAGCTTAACAGACCCTCTTAGAGGAGTGGGTTCGAACCCCACAATACGCCATACACGGGCTTATCAATAGCAGGAGGAGACGGTGTCGGTCCGTAATCAACGCAAATGGGCACCACACACGATATTGACAACATCTTTACACATTTGGCTCACTTTCAAATTCATTCCACTTGTATCACCCATCACAAAAAACCTAAAAAGCCACCCTTAACCAGTTACACCGTTTTCACGCTTCAGTAACAAAAAAACCCAACAAATTAATACACTTTCATATCAAAATTATCAAAATACGTCATATAGCTGCATGTAATTAATTGTTGTATACCCATAAAAATATATAATCGAATAAGTGATCCCTATCAAATTTTGAGTAGTATATGTAGATATCTTTGCAATTAATTAAGCAAGACTCTCTGCAGCTTATAACACGATCGTTTGCATTACTCTACAATCAATAGCCAAGGCTTACAATAAATTTTATTCAACTGCTCTTATCGTCAATGATGAACTTATTACTTTGCAATTATCTTCAAGATAAACAATACTTTTTTTTTGCTTTTCAATTAATAACAAAGGCTAACGTAAGATTTTATTAATCTGCAGTATATTACTAAGAATGGTCTGTCTCTTATTTGTATAATATTATATAGAAAAAAGGAAACATACGGGATATTCCTCGTGCCAAACTGTAACATACGGGGCATTGCGGGTGCCAAACCGTATACCATATTTTCGCTGTGTCTAAATGAACGTAGTGTCACAATACATAAAACATAATATGATTGCGCTTCAGATGCATGGTACGGCGTAGGTTTTAATATTTAGATGTTAACTTTGATATTCTAGAAAGTAATTGATATATGTAACAAGATTCTGAATGAATAAATTATAACGCTACAGGTAAGACTCCGCTTTAGATGGTACGGAATAGTTTTTTTTATATTTAGAAGGCCATTCATTCCTTTAAATTTGAAACATAAGAGATACATGTATGCCAGGCTGCACATCCCTGCAGACTGAACCGGCTGTGTAGTTATGGCTGACTGACTTTAGAAATTTCTATTTTGATATTCCCAGATTGATAGACAGTTTTAAAAAAGTGAACATTTTACAAATTCAGCAGGTAAGATAACACTTGCAAATATGTACAGCCTTACCAGTGTCAGAATGGTCAGTATATTTTTTCGGGATGCCCATCACGTTACCTTTTCTATTACAAGTAGCATAACGTCGTATATAGAAATGAAATGCGAATTTTGACAAGAATGCCCATAAGTAATATTTGAATACAAAGTGTGAAATTTATCTCCAATACTTTATCCATATATAACATTTTTGAAAAGTTTTCAAAATTAAATAATTTTGTTACATACATAGAATGAAAGTAGAAAAACATTTAAGTCAATAGAATGAAAGTAGAAAAACATTAAGCTCAAAATTTCCATGAAATTATATATGATCTTTTTTTAAAATTTCATAGCGGACTTAAAAGGACGTTACGTTATACACGGATTGTTTTGCGATACTTTTGTTGTATATAAACCAATTCAAGAAATATTTATAAAAATTAGCCTTCTTATCGATTGCAATAAGCAAATGGCATATTTTTGCTCTTCCCTTTAATAAAAGGGCGGATAACTCTTTGTCCCTTTCACTTAAGAGAAGGGGAATGCTGTGATGCGTGTATGTGGTCGCACGGTCACTTTCCTTTTAATATGTCCTCGATGCATGTATGTGGTCGCATGGCCGAAAATTTCGAATAAAATACAATGTTTTAATTGCTACGTAATCGTCTGGTGGTTATCTGATAATAACGAGTTTTAAAAGTCTTATTAGGAGAAATAAAAACATTATCATGATCTTGTTTCTACTGTTTAGGAGTTTCAAAAGCCTAAGAATTATTTATATTATAATATACAAAATACAATTTATATGCAAAATACAACTAATGAACCAGACGAAACGTTTCTACATTGTTTTTATCAAAATTTGAAATATTTCTTGAAGATGCACCCATTGAAGACCAATCAACTTTAAAAAGCATCTTTCATTTTCAGCCGATACATTATCGGCCCAAAAGTTAGACATTTACTCAATGTTTATTGTTATCTAATACCTGCAGTTAACTTATGAATCTTGGCAGAAGATTTTGCGACATTTAGCGGCGGTTGCAATGGTGCGACATTTAGTGGCAGCAAGTGCTATATTTAGCTGCGTTGCGACAAATTATGTTCTTGACAAATTTCTAAGGAAACAATTAGAGAAAACGCGTTTGCATAAAGTAGATAACTGTAATGTCCCCGAACTAAATATGAAAACACGCAAATGTCCACCGATTGCTTTTCTGGCTAGGAACAATATTTAAAACTCGAATGCTTACTCGTGAACACGAAGAGAGAATGCGTTTTGTTATAACACGGCGGATGGTGTGTGATAACACGGCGGGCGGTTAACAAACAAAACGACGGGCGGTATGCAATAACACGACGGGCGGTATGCAATAACACGAGGGCGGTATGAAAAAACACGACGGGCGGTAAGCAAAAACACGACGGGCAGTATGCAATAACACGGCGGGCAGTATGTGATAACACGGCGGAAAGTATGCAATAACACGGCGGGCAGTATGTGATAACACGACGGTAAGTATGTGATAACACGGCGGGCAGTATTTGATAACACGGCGGGCAGTATGTGATAACACGGTGGGCAGTATGTGATAACACGACGGGCGTTATGTGATAACACGATGGGCAGAATGTAATAACACGATGGATTGTGTGTGATAACAAGACAGGCGACATATGATAACAAGACAACGGTATATGGTAACACGACAGAAGAAAACTAAAAACGTGACTATGCAAGGGAAAAGACGAGAAGTACTGTAAGACAACATAATAAATGAACAAGTATGAGGGCCAGGAACCATAACACAACTTGCGTACTAAAAAACGCTACTTGTGCCATAATCAATATTTACATAAACGATCGTTAAAAGATTCAGATAAAAATCTTGATTTAAAGGACCTATTTATTAAAAGCCCGTACACATTTGATTGTAAATTATGAATAATCTGCATGCTTCTATTTTGTTTACTTGCTTATATTGATCGTTGTAAATTGTCACTTGATATATAGAGGCCCTTCTGTATTTTCTTTTTGTGAAAAAAGAATGATATATATGAAGAATGGTGGAGGATAACCGTTCATACAGTGCCAGTGTGGAACAAAACAACAACAACAACAAAAAACAACAACAAAAAAAACCCCCAAAAACAAAACAAAACAAAAAAAAATTTTTTAAAAGACCACCACAAACAAAACAACAACAACAACAAAACCAGAAGTACTTCTGCTTATGATTCCCTCGTCAGGGATGTATTTCATGTATAAACACATAGTAGCACCCGAACTTGCTTTACATGACATTGTGTCAATATATATTTTGGATGGACTTGCTGTTTTTACGACAATTTATTCAACTCTTAATTTTGGCGCCTAATGTTTTAATATATTCATTCCAGAATGTAATACATGTATCAAGATTAATTCTCGTTTTGTAAGAGCTTAAAGCCATGGGACCGGGGGATTAGAGGTCCGGGCGCGGCTAGCTGGGGAGGTCGTAGGCAGGCGGCGGGAGGTGATTGAGCATGGTGGGGGCCACGGCAGGGCGGGCGGCAGTTTGATGGCGGGGGGGGTGGGGCCCGCGGGGTGCGTCAGGAGGGGGGGAGGGCGTTGTGGGGTGTGGAGGGTGGAGTGGTGAATAGGGCGGGGAGTGCTAGAGATAGTGAAGGGAGGAGGATGGTGATGTTGGGGGGGAGTGGGTGGACAGCGAGACGAGGGTTAGTTAGCAGGTGGGGACGGGGGTGGGAGGGTGGTGGTGAGGAGGCGGCGTAGGGGAGGGAGGAGTAGGGATGAGGGGAGGACCGTGAATAATGTTGATATAACTTTTGGTCCCGACCTTTTTTAAGTACAATTATAATTTTAAAGATAATGATGTTGATTGTGTAAATATCCAATGTACAAATATACCAATTAACTATAATTCATACCTAAGGTTGTAAATAATTTAAATTAGATATTAATAAATCATAAAAAGACCCTGCGCTTGCTTTGATCCATTTGTTTGCTAAAAGGGAGCGGGAAAAAATTTACAAGATTATTATTAATGGTAATCATTTTAGACGGTCTGGGTTCTGGTTAAAATGACATGACGCTTCATTCATCATTCTGCAGTCTGTAAATCACATGTAACTATTCAATATGTAAATAATTAAGTAATATAAGGAGTTTTTTTCAGTAAAGAGAAAATTCAAATAAAAATCAGTTATAACTCAACGAAGAGCATTTTCAAATTCGAATTTTTGAAGAATTTTTAGAATGAATTAAAATACAAAAAAAAATTTATCCATATATATTGACCCGGGCTTGATGAAGTAGTTTTTTAGTAATTTTTTAGTTTGTCTCTTTTTGCAAATATGACATCGCATGCGCTCTTAAAATATAGTATTTACATAATGAAAAACAATGTCATACAAAAGGTCTCAAAAATATGAGCAATGTTCTACATATTAAGATTTAGAAATGCTCTAATTCCTTAGTAATTGAAATATATTCATAGTTTGTGACAAAGGGAAATACGATTATAAACATTATTTTTCCTCCTAGAAATTATTCAAATGTTTGCTGAAAAAATGTCCGTTCCTGGAGTAAAATTTAGATCTATATCGCCTGAGATAAATCTTTAATTTGTGGTGTACTTTATCAAATTTAATTTGTTCTTCTCAAGACCAGACCTAACGTAACAGCTTTCTGTTTGGTATCCTTTGATTTTTGGTGAAGTCTTTTTTCATCATATCTAAAAATAAAACAGACATGTAAGACAGTCATTGAATATAACATGAATGAAGCACATTTCAAAATAGCTGTTTTATCAACAAAGTATTTTCCTAAATATATAGGAATATACTAGTAACAATACTTTTTGAAGTGATTCAAACTTTCAATTTTCCTTTTTCCTAAATAGTATATTGTTAATTTGATGAATAATGCACTGCAACATATACAATACAGTAATTTAATAACAAATTATCTCAAATTGTCGAAATAACATCCCGCTAATCTTTATCTACAATATATAGTAACATTGATGATATTGTGTTTATGTAAAAGCACAACGCAAAATGTCGGAACATAACTCAAAATGTTCAAAAAGTTCTCTTACATTTCTATAAATATGTTTCTCAATGCAAGTCCAATTTTATGGCTTTCAATTGCAGCTCTTAGTAGCCTTTAGAGAATAATAAAGTAAATTTATGTTTACGATTTAGTGAAAGACATTATGTCATAAGTATGGCCTTAGTATGAAAAAATAAATATCTTTTTAAGATGCACATGTAATAATTTATGATTGTCTTACATCCTATACATCATATAACAGCATTTTTAAGGATATTGAAAAAAACGTATGTTGCCTTTGGACGTTGTCTTGACTGACTGTGCATGGCTGTGACTGACTTGTTCTAATTTTCGCTTTCTGCCTTGTTTCACCTGACACTGAGTACTGTACTTTTGTCATAAGGTTTTTATAGGCATTTACATGATCATTCGTTTTTTTTCATTTTTTCAATATTTCAACAAAGACAATTGGAGAAATCTATTTGACGGAAAATATCACAGAAATGTCTTAGCTATTGGCGTTACAATGCGGGTACCAACCTTCTTT